AAAAAAAAAAAAGAGACACTGCCAAACTTCTGATATGCACAAAAGTCACCTGAAGGGCTTGTTGAAAAATGCAGACTCCTGGAATCCACTCTACTCAGGAATTAATTCTATAAGTCTAAAGCAGAATGTGGCTGTTTCCTAGCCAAACATCAAGAATTATTGAAAAGAACCAAGGCACTGACCTTTAAAAAAGGAAACTTAAAATTAGGTTCTTCCTTATAAAGAACTGGCCTAAACTAGGCTGCATGTTCAGAAGAAACATATATGACTTCATTCAGCTCATTTATTCACCAACTTTCATTGAGTACCTAACATATAGGAAAAGGCCATGGTCCCCATTTTCAGTTGTAGGAGACAGAATATTAAATGTAAGGCAGTTCCAGAGAGTAACAAATGTACTGGAGAAAATGAAGGAATAACGGGGAATAGGGAGGTGGGGAGGGCAAGTAACCTCCTTGAAAAGCAAACATTTGAACTGAGACCTGAATGATGGCACAGCAAAATCAGGGAGAAGGGCTCTGAAGCCACAGTGTACAGCAAACGTAAATGTCCTACAGAAGGAGCACCAGGAGCAAGCCTGGCAAACTCCTGGGACAATGACACAGGAAGAAAAAGACACAGCCAGTCCCTGGGGTACTGATTTAGGCAGAATACAAGATAAAGTAAAAGAGAATGGCAATGCAAAAACATGCATGCCAGGCACACCAGGATGAGGCATATAGATTGTTCTCTGAATGTGAGAGGAGGCTCTGAACCAAAGGGTGACATAATCTAGTTTATATTTAAAAGATTGCTAAGGTTGTGATTAGGGAAATGTACCACAAAAGTCCAAAGTGGAAGCAGGGAAACTAGACTGCAGAGACCAGGTGAGAGATGATGGCAGTCAGGGAAGGTAGAGGAAGTAGGAATGAGAAGCAAAGGTCAGGTCAAATATCTACAGTACAAAATGAGCACTACAGTTTAAGACAAATCAAAGAAAAACAACTAAGATAGTGAGTGGTAGCACCTGTGACTACTTACCCAAGAGATAAAAGGATGAAAACAGAGACTTAAGGTTTTAGTGAGTTCATGAGTTATTAGTACATTTAGGATATTCCATTGCATGTACTTATCTTTGAAGCTGAAGTGAAGGGGACATGGTCCTTCTCTTCTGATGCTACTGATAAAGTACTGAACAAACTGGGCACACATCTAAGATTGTATGTTAATAAAGCATAGTTTGTGTGATTTGTAAAATAAAATCTTCCAAGAACTTACTACAGTTGGTCAGCAATTGGAGAACTCTGTAGTTATGGGAAAGAGCTCAACCTTTGCCTAAATTAAATCAGTAATTAGCAGAAAATTTAAAAATTTCCATATTGCTAACTCAACCTATTGTATCTGTGCCTGCCTGCTCTTCCAAGTTAAGCAAAGTCTTACTTTGCTACATACTGAACATTAATTTGCTAAATTTTACAGTATTGTAGAGATTTGAAAGAAAATCTTTTAAAACCATGATTTTTTTTATTATAGCTTGACAAACATCCAGTGAATATTCCCTAAAACTTAAAACTTAGCATTTTGTGGCAGGTGTGGTGAGAAAAATGTAACCTTTAGAAGCTACACATTGCAGTAAACTGTTTCGTCAACTTAAAAAAAGTTAAGGTCCAGTCCCTCCCTGGTGGCCAAAGGGTTAGGACACAGCACTGCAACCTAGCCACAGCTGCTTCAGCGCAAGATCGATCCCCACGTTGGGGGTGATCCACAGGGCATGGCAGATCCCTCCTGTCTCACACACTGTTCCCCTCAGCAGTGTACTTCATAGATCTGCCTGTTCTGCTCCCCACTCTGTCTCTGGTGAAGCCTCTCACCACCCCTGCACCTCTGGCTTATACCCCAGTCCTGTATGAATAAATAAATAAATCTTAAAAAAAAAAAAAAGTAAGGTCCAAAAACCTCACCTGCAAATATTTAAATTATCTGCAAAAACTTTGTTACTTAAAAAATATATGCTACTATGTGAAAAAGCAGATTACACAAAAACATATGTAGTGCATCATTTGTATATAAAACACATAAATGCAAAAAAAGAAGTCTGGAAGGATATAAACCACAGCTGACAGCTTGATGACTTTTTGGATAGCCAGAATATTGATGACTTATTCTTTTATCTGCTTTAATAAACATTTTCTCCAGTTATCACAAATAATTTCACGTAAGCAAAAATACTGTCATTCATTAGCATAAAAGGTAAAAAAAGAAACTTTAAGAACACAATTTTCACTTGTCTAAATTAACAGGATTCCAACTGAAGTACTAAGAAAAACAATCTCAACTGCACACACTGGAGAGAGGAATTGTAAAGAAGAGGTGCATGTCACAACACAATAAGGACATACTGTTCGAGAGAGTAGTCTATACATTCATAAGAATTCTACCTAGATTAGCTGTAAAGAGCAGCAACTAACATATACTTTTTCTTTTCTTACCAGTTATCAAAGCAACATCTCATAAATTAATGAGTTTTTTTTTTTTTTTTGAGAAAAAAAATGTCATTTACAAATATCAAGTTAGGATTAGAAGGAAATCTGCCCTCTGGCCTCCTTCGCGCTATGCTGGGGCTCGAGGCACCGAGGGTGGCATGGCTCGCAGCAGCCTAGGGCAATCTGCGTGGCCAGTCACCTGAAGTGGAAAGGAACACAAGCTTTCTGCAATCTCCACAGAAGTGGGCAGCGAGAATGCCGCCTAAGCATCTCAAGACCAAAAGTCCCGACAGGGCTTACACAGCCCAAATGACTGCGGGTATAGCTGCAACGATTCCCCACACTAACCCACAAAAACTGTGAGGTCTCGCCAACACACGCAGGTATCCCCTGCGTGACGCCCTTGATGTAAAAGCAAGCGATTAAGGCTTCTTATTTCAGGCCATATCTTCGATTGTGCAAACTGGGGCTACTGAAATCATTCTCCGGACTATCTCCAGCTAACAAACATCATCTTGGCTAACATCCTAACACCCAGAAACAGTCATGTTGGAAAACTTCGGCTTTAACCCGCAGCACCGAACTTCAAGTCCTCTGGTAACCAGTTTATCGCACATTATCTCTTCCAGTTGCTACCTCTTTACTGTCAGCTCGGGTTCTGCTCACTGAACAAACAGAAAAAGGGGATCCTTTAAATTCGCAACACAATACGGACTAGAAAGCTCCCGTTTTCGGGATGGCAGCTTTCCTGTCTGATCAGTCACAACAAAGGACGCATCTTAGTGACTTCATCAAAGACGGAAAGGGTTTAGAAATGCAAGTGAAATAATACCGTGTGTATATCAGACTCTGTGGGCTTTTCCTTCCCGCTACCACTCGCTTTATACTCCATTATACGCTCCACCCGAGGGGACTGTCTAAAAATAAAACCACTGTCGCTACCGCCACTTTTCCTGCCAAGCCCTGACTCTGGTGTCCTGCAGGGAAAGCCCAACACCGGGCTCTCAGCCTCGCTCTCCGCCGGGGGACGCAGGCCGGGCGGCAGCGGGATCCTCCCGGTGCAGCCGCTACCCCGGAGGCGAACTACCGCGCCCGAGAAGCCGCCCGGGTGGTCGCGACCACCGCAGTCCCCAAAAGCCTGAGGAACTCCCAGGGAAGAACGGCGTGAGGGGCAGGTGGGCCGACAAACGGCGGAGGGGGACACTCACCCGCCCAGACCACAACCGACGGGGCGGGGAGGATGGGGGCCGGGACCCAGGCTGGGCAGAAAGACCGCCTGGAGCTTCGGGAACGCTGCGGCTGCTCGAGACGCCGCTGCCGCTGCCGCTCCTGGTCGCCGGCTTCCTCCCCTCCTCTGTTTTGATTCGATTGACCACGTCACTCTTAGCCACGAGACCCGGATCTGCCGGCTCCGGCGGGCGGCGGCGCAACAGATTGCAGCGGCTCGGGACTCCAGCGGCCCGCCTGCCGAGCATGCGCACGCCTCGCGCCTGCCCAGTGCGAGCGGTGAGGCGGGGCAGGCTGGAACGCCACGGGCGCTCGCGTCACGCTATTCGTGGGAGCGCGGAGCACGGGGGTTGTAGTTCCGGTTGGGAGGGGTGGGGCCGAGGACTGTGAAGCGGGGAGGGCGAGGCCCCGCTTCTGTTGAGCTGGCGGGCGTAACGTGCACGGTCCCAGGTGGGCAGTGTCCACTCTGTGCGCCTCCCTTTGCTTGGGCTGATCGCTTTTCTCAATCGCAGTTTTGTTTTTTTTTAAACCCGGGATCTAGGTAGCGGTGGGTGCAAGGGGGTGTCAGCCGAGTCCCGTTACCCCTGTAGATAATACAGTGTTTTGATTACTCCAATCCAGGTGAAAATTGGAGTTCGGGAATTTGGTCTTCTGTGCAAGTATGTCAAAAGTGGATTTTGACATTTTTTGTGAAGTTCGAGAAAAGTATGAAAGGGATTCGCCAAAAGATCGGGAGGTGGGGGGGAACGGGAAGGGGAAATGTGAAGTAACCCGCCCAGCCCTTTGTGGTTTTGACCTTAGAGACCTTAGGAACGATACTATTTGTGGAGTAGTCAGAATTGGTGCTTTCTGTTCTCTCATTGTGGCCTTCTAATTTCCCCTCTAAACCATTGAAGCTCCGGGGGATTTACCAATTTGGCAAAATTTACCGTTGCTCTGTTATGACCTCAAGTTAACGAGTTTTTTTTTTTTTTAAGTTGACAAGCTTTAATTAAAATGGGTCTAGTGGTAAAATAAAAGTGCTTCCCAAGCAGATTTCAGAAAAGACACCTCCTTGTCTGTTCTGTGTGGGAGGTGAAAGTTAGATGTAAAATTTTGTCTTCCTCACTCAGCTATTTGGTTAATCACCATAACAAAATTAGAATAATCTGTAACTTTTATTTAATTTTACATATTTTTTAATAAAACACCAGTTTTACATCCTTGTTATTCTTCCTCCCCCCCC